CCAGAAAGTTTCTTCTTACTCTTAAGTTGTCTGATTTTACTTTATTTATCTATGTTTCATCATTTTGTGATCTGCAATTGCTATGCTGAGGGCTGGACCTCAAGCTCCTGCAAAGTGGTGGTGAGATGTGGTAATAATTTTAGATATGACAGCTATTATTTAGCACAGCAATGTGGGAGTTAGGAGAGAATTCCATGAAGACTCAACCACATCAAAAATCCTTTATTACCAGTCCTCTGTTACAACTTGCAAACAATTTTCTTTTAAGGCCTTTTCATCAACCAATTCTGTGGGGCGCATTTTATACCAAGAAAAATCAAGGAGGGAAGTGAGAATCTCAAGAATTAGAACTGAAGAGGTGGGCACAACAAGACCAAAATCGATTTCACTGACTCACTGTCGTAGTTCATCTTAACTGTCAACTTGACTTGATTTAGTTACTCCTGTAGAGGTGATTGGATCAAAGAGGCAACCTGTTTTCAGCAGATTAATGCACTAATGTTATTGCTGAAGGTGCTGTTAGGAGAGAAAGCCCTGGGAAGGCACGGATCACTGGGACACACCTTTGGGGGTGTATCTCTTCCTGGGTCTCTTCCGCACTTTGCTTCCCAGTTACCATGAATTGAGCAGCTTTGCTCCTGCATGCCGTCTTACAGTGACATTTTTTGGTTGGAACCATCCAAACATAGTCTAAGTTCTAACAGCATATGCTAAATTGTTTTTTTTCCCTTAAATTACATATGCCAGTCATTTTGTCCCAACAATGGGAAAGGCAGCCAATATATCAGAGCCCGCATCTTTCCCAATGCTATTGCCCACAGCAGTGCTTACACTGTGGAGCCACTGTGCTTGTACTGCAGATGGATGAAGTTGATACAGAAGATATACATCAATAATAAACACTGTCAGGAGTTGAAGAGTTTGGGCTTTGTGATAGTTAACTGATGGTGTCAACTTAAGTAAAAAACATCCAACTAAACTGGATCAACATAGTTCTGAGTATGGTTGAAGGAATTTCCTGAAGATAGAGGACCCACCCTAGATGTGAGCGACACCAGCCAGTAAGTAGTCTTGATGCCTAGATGGAACAAAAGGGAAACGAAGAAGGGATGCTAGCTTCTGTTTCCTCAGAGGAGCTCCTGTCCTCACTTCACCTTAGATACTGTCTTTGGGCTTCCAGTGAAGACCTGTCAGCCTCCAGCACAGACCTTTTGGCCTCTGATATGGACTCACTCAGGATACTGCAGTGAGCTCCAGGCCTTTGACTGAATCATTAGGGTCTCTAGCACACACAGTCCCTTTACACCTTCCCACACCTGACTCTTTGTAAGCCAATCTTGTAAGTTCCTATGTATTATTATATCTTGTGTTAAATCTATTTCTGTAGTAAGCACTAACCAATACAGACTTATAGACCTGGGAATGAAATTGATCCAGTATACAATTTCTATGATTCAAAATTCTTTGAAATCCAAGAAAGGTGAGTTTAGGGTATTTAACTGGCATTATTCATTCACCCTAGTATACAAATCACACAGCAATCAGACATGATTTCCCTATGACAGGCTTTCATGGAGAATCAGATCTGCTTAGCCTGGCTTCCAGTTACTGATCTAAAGACTCCTGACACTGCCACAGGTCCATCTCAGCAAATTAATGCCTGTAAATGCTTCTTCTAGAAAGGGTCAAGGTGACCTCCAAGTGAGCTGACAGACAGATATGCTTGTGGCAATGCTGATCTGAACATCTGGGTGAATGATTTAAAAGGAATATAGGGGAAGTTGATTGGTAAGGTGTGCTGCTTTTAGCTGAGAATAGCAGGTATTGACAGGCTTTTTCTTTTTTGCTCTCATTTCTATATTTCTATTTTAAATCTGAGACCCTTCTTTCTCAACAAGACTGCACAAAACACCCACCAAGGGGCTGGCAGTGAGAAGTAGAAGCCATGCATTTGATAGGATGGTTGCATTTTAGGTTGCAGGTGAAATCCTCATGCTCTTCTGTACTGCAGTGGCACCAAAGTTCTCATGCTCACTTTATTCTAATACCCTTTGTGGCAAAGGTCACTGCCTGCTATGTGTCTGGTTATGTCTTCACATGCTCTGGTAGCATCTGTCCATTCAGTAAAGGCTGTAGTTAAAACAATGATTATTGAGTGTTGCAAAATAATAATGTAAGAAAGTTCTGCCATTCTGCTTCTGATGTGAAAAACACACTCCAAAGGAATACAGCTATCAATCTCATCAATAAGCTAGATTGTCAACAGGAGTGATAGCTAGTGTAAGGAGCAGATTATTTGGACCCAAGGTAGGAATTTAGGGTTATCTTTAATGTTAACAGCTTCTCCATCTACTTCTCATTCTGGGCATAAAAGGCACAGAGTTGGAAGGTAAGCTGTGGTAGGCAACACTTACTTCCCCTATCATCACCCTTAAAGCTGAGGTCCATCTTAGCTTCTTAGAAGTAGACTCTGCCTCTTGCATTTATAAACCGTTGAATGTATTTTTGTTTTGTTTGCTATCTATTTTTTGACTGAACTACACTTTGGAAGCAGCTCCTTATGAATAATGCCAGTTAAGTGCCTTAAACTCACTTTTCTTGGGTTTCAAAGAGTTTTGACTCTTACAAGTTGAATATTTGGAGAAGGAGTTCTCATAAACTGTTCATAGACAGGCTTCATATTTCTCTCCATCTTTGCCTTGTATCAGAGACATACTCATATGTCTTTCATTGTCACCTCACTGCTGGATCTAGTTTTCTAATCTATACTACTACTAATCCTACTAATCACTATAGCCACCTTTTTGAGCACATTCTCTTGGTTCATTAATTAAATTCCTTGGAGTGGAACAATGCAGCATTACATAAGTTGGTAAGAGTTTAATATTGGGAAACCAAAGTCAGATATAAGCTCCTACACCTACCACCTCTCAAGTATTCTGTTTTGTTTTGTTGATTTTTTTTTTGAGACTGGGATACGTAGCCCAGGCTAGCCTCAAACTTGCAGTGATCATCCTGCCTCAGATCTTCCAGTGCTGAGAATTATAGGTGTGCATCACCACAACTAGCTGACTCTAAGATCTTTATGTCTCTGTTTCTCAAAATAGGGATAATGCAAACATCTGCTTCCCATGGCTGTTAAAATGGAAATTCACATAAGAATGGCTAGAAATATGTGAGTTATAGTTATTATTAATATTACCATTAAAGTTAGTGACAAGAATAAGTTTATTCCTCATAGAAAAAAGTCAATGTTGTTGTTACCCATGTCCTTCATCATAACATTCTGTTTCCCTTTTCTAACCTGGACAGTATAAGGGTCAAAATTTTCAGGGAATTATTTAAATGAACTCCAGATCATTTTCTTGAATCATCAATAATATGACAGAGATCTTTTTGATGTAAACTGTGGCTAGAGTCTTCATCTGTAAGACCATCCCCTTGAAGTTGATCATGTGAAAATTACGTGAAAACTACTCCCAATTTCTTGTCCTCTAATGGATTGCTTTAATCTTATAAAGACTGTCACTTATAGTGTCAGTAACTCAGGCTTTATGCCCAACAAATACAGTAATAACTTACTATTTAAGAAAAACAGACTTTAAAGGTAGTCTCTGTCAAAAGATTTCTGATCAAGTAGATCCCATCGGTGAACATATATGGTACACTGATACAGAAAACTGATCATTCAGGCTTGATACTCCCTTTTGGACTCCCCAGGATACCCCGACCCCCATCACCACCGTGCCCACCCCTCACACTCATGCTATGTTCAACTGGTGTTAAAGTATATACAGACCTCATCTGTATGATTGGCTTTGATTTGTTACCTGTAAGTAGGCACCACCCATACTAACAAGATCTTCTGCTGGATGAAGAACCATTTATTTTCCCCAACTTCATCTCCAAAATGATTCAGGATACATAGGAATATTTCATGAAGCACCAGTATTTAAAATCCTCTCATTTTACAACTTGATTTGGTATATTCTTAATACAGCATTGCTTGTTCCAATACGTCAGTTTCAAGAGGTAACATGCTTGCTGAAATTTCATAAATTCTTCAAAAACCAGAAAATTTATTTGAGTCTTACTTTTCTCATTTTCCTTTCTAGAAAAATGAAAGACTTTTGGGTTTTCTAACTGGCCCTATTTTCTCTTATTTTATGGTAATCTTTTATAGCTCTGATCAATTCATTTCTATTTAACACATTGTTTCATAGTCATTTAGCAATTTGTTAAATTTTTCTAAGTACTTGCTTTGAAAATTGATTTCTAAATGGTTCCATTTACCCAAAATACGTACTGGGTAATTTTTTTTTTTAAACAGAGGTATCTGTAATTACTTTAGGAAATAATTTTGTTATCTTTGTTTTTTCTCCACAAACTAGTCCCAGCTTTGGTGGAAAAAAAAAAACCTTTGGATATAAATATTATACTTCTTTGGTTGGACTATTCTCTCCTCATGGGACCCAGAAAGCTTGCAGCGCTTCGCCTCTGGAGTGTGACCAGTGGGAAGGGGAGACACAGCTTTTACCAAGATGGAGAACTTGGATCACTGCAAGAGTGCACAAAGGAAAGGCACTTCTCATCTTGTTTCTATGACTGTGTACAGATGATAAAACTAAGAGGAAGGACCTTTCAGAAGTAAGTGGCTCTGTGTCTTTAATTACCCTGTCTAGAAAGCAAGTCTGTCATCAGGGCTGGAGACTCGATCTGCTCCAGAGATTGATTGGAGTAGGACTTTTTTGCCCAATCTTAGATTGCTTCAGTTTTACTGGAATTGAGGCAGGCCATAAACCTATCAGTGACACAAGAAAATTGAAGCAATTAAGTTTGCAGGTGTGCATATTTGTCATATTCATGATGGATCTGTGTTAATGTAAGTGACAGAAGGCTGCCACATGGTGCGTTCTCTCTAGCTGAGGGTGAAACTACCCGGGGAGGCACTGTGACTCCACAATGCTGTTACCAGGCAGATCCCTGCCCACCTAAGGGCACAAGAACCTTCAAACCTCACAAAGTGACTCCCCTCCATCCCAACCCTGGCTCAGGATCCTTTGGCACTGCTGCTCCAGTTCCAAATTACAGCTAAACTATTTCATGGGTATGTAATCTGACTCAGTAAAAGAAATGCTAGTTAAAGAACCTAGACTGTAGTTGTAGGAATATAATTTGCAGACATGATTTCAGAGTCCAAAAGGTCTGGTTTAAATATCAGCCTTGCCTCGAGCATGTTATTTAAGCCCAATATGGATTATAATATCTACTTTATAAAGTTGTTGTGAGGAGGAAATGAAGTAATAAATGTAGAGCTCTAAATACAGAGTCTCGTGGTTATAACCTGTAGGTGCTTTAATGCTTTCTCCTTTTCTGACCTTGAAACACTTTAGCTCCTAGAAATTAATTTCCCGTCATTCCTCAGAGGCTACCACACAACTTTAGGGCGAGGAACAGTGTTAGCAGGGTTCCTGAGGAGACCAGCAGGCCCATACACTGGATGTGTTAATCCTGGGTTTGGCCACAGTGACCTTGAGGAAAGCTGTCCCCCCTCTGACAGCCAGTCCTTTCTCAGGCTTTTCTTGACCCCCCTGTGGGGCAGTGCCTATTGAAGGCCAGCCCACTGGGACACTGCACAGTGACCTACAACCTGGCTTGGCATGAAAAGATGAGTTAATCAGATTCTCCCTCGTAGTAATTTGAAATGGGGAAGATGGAACAAATCAGGCATAAATCAACAGAAGCAGGGCTCAGAGAGATGCACAGTAAAAGCACAGATGGGGAGTCTGGGACAGAAGGGCCACTTCAAGCTAGAGAGATGAGGAAATAGAAAAAAACATGAATAAGCAGAAGCTCTGAGGTAGAGAAAATCACAGGGCATAACGGGAAACTCTAGGCAAGATGGCAGGAGAGCAGTAGCTGCCGACGTGGAAGGAGAGGCGTGCACTGAGGCGGGACCACACAGTGATGCCCGGAGACCTGCTGCAGAGCCCCAGCTGTCCTGAATCAGGTCCAGCCCCCCTGAGACCAGGCAAGCACTGGCCTCCTGTGTCTTCACGCCTGTGAGGTCCCTGCCTCCACCTCACTTGTGCATCCCAAAAAGCTTTTCCTACTAAGGAGTGAACAGGACGCGACATGGTCGCAGTACTTTGCAGTCAAAGGCAGCTACCCCTAGCCACGGAGATGTGAGCACCCATTGAAGGATTCATAATGTTCAGAGGATTCTGGCCTTGGTCTCTTATTAAGTCCTTAATCAAGGTACCTGACTCAGTTCTCCTTTGAGTGTACAAATGAGTAATTTCCAGTGGCGTACACCCAGAATCCCAGCAGTCTGGGAGGCTGAAGCAGGAGGACCACAAGTTTGAGCTTAGTCTGAGCAACTCAGGAACTTAGTAAGACCCTGTCTCAAAAAATAAATAATATTTATTTATAAATAAATAAAAGTGTGAAGGCCTATAAGAAAGAAAGAAAAAAAGAGCACCTCCAATATAGCAGGTAACTATAAGTCACTCAATATGAGAGAAGTTATTTAAAAATACTTGTTTAGAGAGTGAAAAAGGAAAGTGAATTCAAGATTTCTGCACAAATTGTATCTTTTCAAAGTCTAGGTATGGCTTTGATTCCATTTCTAAATATTTTTCCATCTGCAAAATGGGAATCATGGCAATACAAACAACATCAAGCAACAATACACAGCATCAGGAAGGTCATAAGAACACACAGGCAGACAATGAGGCTGGGACGGGAATATATTCACTTTTATTACAAGAGAAAAGATTTTCCTTTGCCAACCCACATAACTTAACAGTCAGCAATAATGAGAAAGGAAACAAAGAAAGCACTGTACATGACAGCTAAAATCAGAATTTGATCAAATATTCTACTTCTAAAGGGCTACTGTCATGTAAAAAAAAATCAAGTTGAGTAGAAAAAAATCTGGTTTGTTTATTAGTTTTTCTCCTAATGCTACCAAATGGACCTCAGTCTGAAATGGCTTTTGAAATCAAATTTGCTGTTCTCCAATTTTGCAACTTACTCTTTATGCTAATTTGTCTGCACCTGCAGGGACAAAGAAACTGGCAGCATTGAACATGAGATCCAGGAAGAAAAAGCAACAGAAAGACTCAGGAAATGAAACCAGGGCTAAATCACATTAGGTGTATAAAGGTTGGGCTTTTTATAAAACAAGAGAACAATGCATTGGATGTCTGAGTGAGTATTCTGAGTACTGAAAATCATAAACCTTAGGAGGAAGAGCTGGTGCCTTGCCCAGGTCTCAGAAGACGATAGGGGACAATTAGGATGACCAAGGCCATCCTGGGCCACGCTTGACCTTCATACCCTTTAACCATGAGAATTTTTTAAATGTCTTAAAAAGTTTCATTCTTCAGGAATTTAGCCTGTAGTAGTTGAGGTTAATTTTCTCTTCCAATGTCAAAATATCTTTATCTAAGGCTCTATTAGAAGTCCCAAGATTCTAAAGGAAAGACTCTGTCTCATTCTCGTATTGTTCTCCATTATCTGTGCCCTGAAATATCTGGCTTCTTCTCTTTCCTTCTGCCACACTATCAGGCATGGTCTAAGGGTGAGACCAAACCTAGTTTCTCAGTCATCAAAAAACACGAGCACAGAGATACTGCAACAGACTTAGAGATATTATCCTTGTCTTACAAACACCCAAACCTTCAACAGCATCAAGAAATTCAGAGAAAATATTCCAAAGCCTGTCTCTTTCTGTTAGAATGCCTTTCAAATTCTAAAAAAAGAAAAATATATTTTTATATTATAAGATTAATTTACTTTGTGTATTTTCTTGACTGCTCTGTCCAGTATGTTTAATTTTAGACTTTTTGCATTGCATAAAAGCACTGTCAAAACAGAAGTTCCCTCTACAGCTAGCAACTGTTGAGGTCCAATGAATGCTACATGTTCACTGCTTTAAAAAATGTCAATTTTTACCTAAGAGTTATTAGATTTAGGAAAAAAATCGATTTGACATTTCCAGTGTTCATCACTCACATACCTGCTCCCCACCCCAGCATCTCTTCAATCCTCCATTTTTTCCACTATCACCAGGTGTAAAAAAACAGACATCACACACTTCAACAAAGACTGTGTTTAAAATCAAATAAACTAGGAATCAATTTTTGCCCATTGTTTGATTTTTAGGAGGCAAATTTCCTGATTTCTACTAGACCACTACTAGTTGCTTATAGAAGCAAGGATACTATTATCCTTACTAATTGCATAAAATGTGTTTCTGTCGCAAATCATACACTTGAATAGGAAGAAACTCGCTTTCATTAATTGGTGAGAAAAGTCCCTGCATCCTGTATTTGTGAATATGAAGAAATGGAAAATAAAAGGTTAATTGACTTTCTCAAAATCAAAGTGTACCAAAGGACTGGAGCTAAGGTTCACAGCTCCTGCCTCTTCAGTCCAATTTGTTATGAGAGTCACAGAGGAATGTCTTTTAGTGAAACTTCTTGAGATTTTATGTCCCTAATTGTGCTGTTTCCCTAGGGAGAAAGTTTAGTGAAGGGGAAAAAGAATGGTCTTTAGAATCAGGCAGACATGGTTAGACTCTCAACTGTGACATTTGCTACTCATATGATCCGAAGCAAGTTACATAACTTGGGAGCTGCTGAGTCTTCATTTGCAAACTGTAGATGACACACCTCAATGGCGTGCATGAGGATTAAACAAGACTACGTGTGAAGCACAGAGTAGACACTCAGCACGTGTGCACCATTCTTTTTGTGTATTTTTCTTCAACAATTACAATGTAATTGAGTCACAAGACAAAGACAACAAACTAGATCTGAGGACACAATCATATTTATTTCCAGTTTGCTTTGAGTTCTAACATTTCATTCTGAAAATATTGTAAATTTTGGTAAAGAAAGTTCAAAATACTGGCTGGTACTCCTTTAAATATCAGGTAATTTCAGAAGACAACATAGCCCAGGGACAAATGGCCCTCACCAAACAAGACCAAACAGCTCTTGCTTGAGCACTGGTGACTGTGAACTTTCATTCATCAGTTCAATCATGTATTCATTTCTGTACAGAGTATTTTACTGAGTCCTACTTTGTGTGAAATACTGAAATTGCAAATATGAAAGAGACCCTGCAGAAGGAATTTACAGTTTAGAATGGACAAGGAAAACAAAAAATGAATGCAACCAGTGGCTGTGACAGGGTGTGCACAAGACAGAGGGAGAAATGGAGGAAAGAGAGGCCTAAGGAGGGAGAATCAGTAAATCCTGAAAAATGACATTCACATCTGAACTAAGAGTAAGGAGAAGCTGGATATGCTGGCACGGTGTGGGTGGCAAGGCCTGGCCACGCTCCTGGCTAAGAGATACAGCGTGTCATAATAGCAGGGCATCTTCCGAGAACATCAAGCCTGGGTAGGCTACAAAAACCTGGAGACAAGATTTCAGAGGACACAGTGTGCCACCCTCAAGGTTTGGCTTTATTACCTATACAAAGGGAAGTTTTGCTTTTAAAAAGGTAGATGAAAAATGCAGTATCACTTTCAAGCTGGTTAAAGACTTGGTTTATGAAAACGAGGAGAAGGAAAAGGGGGAAGAGAGACAGAGGGGAAGAATGAGTGGAGTATCCAATGCTTGGATGTAGAGGGAGGGGAAACACTCTTGGCTAACTCCGGAAGTTAGTTCAGGCTCTTCACCCTTACAGGTGCACAGGATGGAGAATCAGGCCCCGGGGACGGAATGGAGGTTTGGGTACACTGGCGCTGATCTGCATTGTCGGTCCTCCAGGTAGGAACCTTCCATGGACATTTAAATGGATGCATCAGAAGTGAATGGTAAAATTCTGCTGTAGCATCATGCATAAGCTATACAATGCTGAGGTCAAGAGAACAGGTGAATTCACCTACCAGTGCACAGTATGTTCAAGCCAAGGGCTAAGGATAATACCCCGAGTCTCGGAAAGGCTTCTCCAGACCTTAGCTTCTTCTATTAAATGAGAGGGATGTGCTGTTTTCTCTTAGGTTCCATTCACTTAAAAAATGTCTCATTCCATGATTTTTTTATTTGGCTCAGCCTTTCACTCGCACGGTCCTCTTCTCTTTCTTCTACTTTGTTATTTTTAGAAAAGGTGATTTGAAGCTTAAGTTCCTGTGAAGTGGCCCCTTGATCTTTCTGTCATGAGGATACTCACACAAAGGGTACAGCAGGGAGACTTTACAGAAGAAGAAAAGGCAGGAGAGGATCAGAGCAGGTTTCAGTGCCAGGATGTGGCCTTTCTCGTCCCTTCAAAGAAGCCACAATAGCGAGGATCTCCCGCCCACTCTTCAGTTGTTAGGGGAGGCGTTCGGATACAATCGAAAAATAACACTGTTTGCCTTGCTTTAAATACTCCTGACTTCCCTTCGGTTCCCCCCTCTCCCTATCCTGGAGGGAGCTCTGTCACTACATTCTACCTAATATATTGGTACCTCATTAGTTGGATCTAGAATTTAAAATTATTAGGGCACCAAAATTTTCATTGGTCACATCTCTATCCACCATTTTACTTCTACTCACCAGTGCATGGTATTTTCTATTTTTCTACATCTCTCCTGTATAAAAGCACATTTAGATATTCTCTGTGGAAAATATACCCAAATTCCTATTAAACCCAAGAAAAAATGGGGAGGAAACTCAATTTATTTTTGTATACTGCCTGCTTCTCATTAGCCTTGACTTCTAAAGCCCTCAGGTTATGGGCCAGTGCTTATTTTCATGGCTGCCTTACTAGATTTTATTACATTTGTACTGAGAGGCAAGATAGCCTCATTTTATATCTGGAAAAATAGGTTTAGTGACCCAGCGACAGCAACTGGCCATGGATCAGTATATTTTCCTTATTATGTGAATCCAGGGCCATATGTTTTTAGTTGTCTGGAGTGAGAGTAAAATGTATTGCTCATTACATACACATTCAACAGTAGCAGTCTACTGCCCTCTTTCTAGAACCACCCAATATAGGGGAATGAAAAGCCTCTAGATTTTCTACAACTCTTAAGAAACCTGTAAATCCAAAAGCATTATTCTCTATACCAAATCAGGTCATACACTATTGAGAAAAACTGCTTCATCTCATCTTTAAAAATAAAAACGTTGAGTTTAGGTGCTGGAAATGAATAATTCCATGTGTGAATTCAGAAATGAAAGAAACTGCAGAAATCAGTGTTTTTTAGTCCAAAACTGTGATAAGGCATTAGATTTCAACTCTTGAAATAAAGGACATTTCTGTAATAGAGGAATCTCTCTTTCTACCTCCCTCCCAACCTCCATCCCTTTCTCCTTTGTCCTCTCCCTATGGTGGAAGAAACTAGGATTTAACAAACCACCCAAATTCTGATTTGTCAGTCCTTCACACGTAAAACAATTCTCAGAGGTAATCCCCTAGAGTCAAAGCATCAATATTACAGATTAAATATAGAACTGCAAGGAAATCTTAAGGTCTCCTAGGCCAGATTCCTTCAGGAAAGCATGTCTGCCTTTCACACTGGAGGGTTTGAAGGTCTCTAAGGTTAAACGTTCTACATGTTCTTCCAAATACTGTTATGCAATGCTTCTCCTTAGTTTACCAAGGTATTTTACTCTTCTGTCTGAATAAATTCTCCCCTGATATCATGTGAACCTATCTCCCATAGAGATGGAAAGGACCAGTCTGAAGGCTCCTGAAAATCACACCCAGTACCTGACCACCTTTCTTGGGAGTGCCAGATGCATCGTACTCCAAATGCAGCTCTGCTCCTGGCCTCACCTGGCCTCACTGGTTGGGCCCTCACCATCATATTTCAGAAATTCTTATCAGAGAATAAGAATTAGAGTGGTCACAATCTGCAGTTGGGAGGAAAGAAAGGTGATGATCACACCGATCAAAGACAAGAGTACTATTTGGCTATCCTTCAGTGCAATGCCAGGCCCTATATATCTTGTACCAAAGCCAAAAGGCTGCTATGTGAGTTCCAGGGGTTTCTAGAACTTCTCAATCACAAAGGAACCTCAAGTTTGCCTCCAGACAAAATAGAGGTGTCTAGCGTATGTATATTCTGAGCCCACTCCTGTCTTTATAAGTGAAACCTATTATCCCTATCCCAATTTATCTATAGAAAACTAAATTCTTTCGCTTGCTTTTCACGTCAAGACTTTTCATATCTTTGCCTTTCTTCTCATATCTTTTCCATCTTAGAGGGGAAGCGATTCTGTTTTTTCTCAAGGTTAACCCCGTGCCCTTGATCTACTCTTTTGTGTGACAACTCCAAAGATTTTGCACTATCACATTATCTCTTTAAACTTCAATCTCTCTTTCCACTGTTTCTTTCTCTTTGGCCTAAAATAATGCTAAGTTATTTTCACCCCTATAGTCTCAAAAAATACTGCTGACCTTCATTTTTGCCTTTCTTACTATCCTTTTTCACTAATAGTCTAACTTCAAAACTTCAGTATGTGATTTCAGTTTCTCTATTCATTTTGCCATTCATTTCTTAAGACAGTAATAGTTGTTTCTGCCCCAAATGATACAGTCTATCTATGGGCAGGAGAGCATTGGCATAAAACACTAGGAAGTTTTAAGCAGGTCAACAGCTTCTTGAAAACATGGCTTGAGCACTGCAGGTGAATGGTGAATGAATGAAGACTTGAACACAAAAAGGGAATAGAATAGCAGATGGTCAGCCTAAGAAATGTCATTTGTGGAATGACTGGTTAGCAGTCTATGTCAGACTGCAATTAGGTGTTTCAAATGCCTGTCTCATTTGAGCACAGAAAGTGACTTTGTTTCTTAATTCAGTTCATCTCCAAAGCATCTAAATAATATTAAACAAGTGAGTTAGCATTTGTGGATCTTAGTTTCCTGCTTACAAAACAAAGTGATTGGACCAAAAGATTCACCATGCTTCTTGTCATCTAAAGGATATGAAGCCAAAGTCTCTGGCTGAACATACTGGCGTAAACCTTGGAAATACAGTGATCTCCTAGTTTCTATGGTATCATTATTTTGCCCTGAAAGGGATCTTTGCATCTTGCTTTTTTCTTCCTGGCTTACCAGACATTTATTGAGTAATAATTGACTTATTTTCTTTTTATATTCAAAGACACACATGATAGGAACCACATGGTTCAGAAACAGGATCATACTTTGAAACAAGACTGTACAAAGTTGAATCCCACCTTGTCACTTACTGGCCATCTGATCCTGGACGGGTTACTCCCTAGATGAGCTGCACACGCACAGGGCAGCTAAGGCGTTAGCACACACTTGCTAAATCCCTGCCTCCCAGGATCATCGTGAGCATTGACTGGGATAATGACAAAGTGCTTTTTTACATGGCAGTTGGCAAAGTGGAGGCATGAAATAAATGTGAGGTTCCCTGGTTTTCTCTTTCCTCCATAGTCAGGGCCAAGTTTTCTTCAGGTTTGTACTTTCTCGGTGGCTCTTAGGTGGGCTGGTATCTTTTACTGGGAACTGCTGATGAATTTCACCCTTCTCATTGTGCGACTAAATGACAGAGGTTGCCCACTGGCCTGAGTCCACAGGGTTACTTAATGGCAAAGTCAAAATCTAAAATCGGGTTGTGTTGCTACCTATCTGGTTTTATTCAATCCTTCACAATGCGACTTTGAGAGCTCTGTGAGATCAATTGTGTACCCTTTGTGGCCTTCAGAAATGGACTACTTTTTAAATTCAATAATTATGCTCTGACCTAAGGTTCTCTGTATGATCAAAGCTGTCGTTATCCTGATCCTTTACAATAGCAGAGAGCCCCTTTCTGCTAGTGGTTTCTTTATTCACTCTCTAGTGGTGCATTCCTTGTAGTGTTGGATCCATTCAAACAATTCTTCATCTTTTCACTTCCTCATGTTAACTAGTTTTAAACACAAAGGGAAAAAACAGCGATAACATTAAAACTAAGCAAACAAATGAATTAAACTCTCTCTCTCTCTCTCTGCATATATAGTTTATATGTATGAAAAGAATTATTTTAGAAACACTCATCTTAGGGTTAAAAAAGCAAATATGGACGTTCTTTCAGATGTTCAGTAATAGATACTTATTTTGGACATATGATTTAATATTATACTCCATTAACCACATACTTGCAAAGGACATTTGATGCCATGGAAAATCACAACATAATGTCAAACAATTTTTTAAAACTTTTTTAAATGTACAAAATGTGAGCTCAGAGAACTAAGAAATTTCATATGGGTAGAGAATTGGTAGACTACACAGCTTGTGTTTATTTATCTCTGGGAGACGAGATTATGAGTGATTTTAAATTTCTTCTGTACATTTTTGTGGTTGCTTCTAATCGTTCCATGATCAATAAATAGTTTTTAATAGAAAGAAAATGACAGTTACTGTTTGAGGGAAATAGACTGTTAGGTACCTCTTAGGGGAAACAATATGCTTACTTCAGGGGTTTTGTTCTTCCAGCTGCCAAAGTGGTTTACACGGACATAGGCTAGATGATAGCTAGAGACAACTAAGGAATCACATGTATTCTCAAATTATTATTTTTATAGCAAAACTCCTACTTCAAAAGAAATTTTACAACAAAGATAAAAGAAGAGATGTTTTAATCCCATCAGGGGTAATGGGCCCAGAGTTGTACCATTCCTTATGACAGCTGGAGCATGTTAGCAAATTCTTAGATGCTGGAAAACATAATTTGTAAGAATCTTGATTTGGCACAAGGTTTCCATGTCACTGATGAGGAATCTGGCACCAAGAAAGGCAGTGAGGGGCATGCTCCAGCACACTC